GTTTGAAGATATTTCGAGTTGAAAATAAATTACACTCCATAATTATGTTGACAAGAGGCTTTTCTGTTTGGAATTATAATTTTAAATGTAATAATGTAGACTAACAATATAAATTGTTTAAATTAAATTGTCTATTAATGCTGTTGTATAGCACTACAATATTAATATGAAGATCTCACACTACAAACCAACTTAAATTATGCATTAATTGAAGTTTGGGGACATTTTAAAATGCTTTTGTTCAGAAACGCATCTGACACTTGTGACGGCGGGGGAGACGGCCAGAGGTAATTATGCTAATCTTCTCTCCTCGTACGCCAGCACCTGGATATGCATTCATCAGTTTACGCTGCTCATTTACACACTTTTACTGAAGATAGAAGAGTTTGTTGAATCTGACGTGACATGTTCGTACGAACCCTTCATACGAACAGAAGAGAAATTTAGGATAAGAATACAAACATGTTCTTGCATGAGGCCCAATGTTTCGGCTCACGCTGAAGATTCTCCGATTTTAAGGTGACAAAAAGTGTCGTCATTTATTTAAGACTCCCTTCGTCTTGTTGTCACTTTGAGCTGGGTCTTGTTGCCACAGATTAATAAACTTAGTGTTCAAAGCTTCTACAGTTCTCTTATTGATCCAGTGCCTGTTTTAAAATGTCTTCTTCTAAAGAGATAAAAACTGGAAAATGTTTGATTGGAGGCTGAAATAATAGCTAACAAAATGGTGAGAGACATTACAGCCATCCTGTTTTTTATTTAATTATTATTAATCATTTTAAAAATTCAGTTTTAAAAAACAGTATATCAAGCACTGAATGAAAAGGGTGCAAAAAGAAGAACAAAATCTTGTGTCTGCCCCTTATTTAAAAAATAACTACAAACAAGCTTGTGAATAATCACCAAATGTAAAAAAGTAAAAAAAACAAAAACATTAGTCATCCTTCATACCCTATCTCTACCAAGCATTATATGATATTATACTTTCCCATTAAATTTGACTTAATCGTATATTTAACATATAGGTTGTTTTAGAAGTTTTTATATTAATATCAAGATTATTCCACAAACCTTTTCCCTGAATCACAGCAGTGCTCCTTCAGACTAGTTCTAAATGGAGGTTTTTCAAAACTCTCCATTCTCAGGTTATAGTGACTCTCTTTTAACAAAGTTTAGTTGAATATTTGAACATAGTATTTTTATGGGCTTTATACATAACTTGTAATTTACTATATTCAACCAAATCATAACATTTTAATAAATTCAAATGATGAAATAATATATTTGTTGGATAACCGTAACCGTCAAATAAAAACAACTCGTATTCTCTCACATATTTTGACGCTGCTGACACCCCTGGAGTCCTGAGAACATCAGGATGTAGAGTCTCCAAAGTGTGCAGATTTGTATAAACCAGGGCTTTCAACTACAGTAAACTGCTCCGGGGGCCACAGCTACTGCAGGTCAACAGCTCAGGGGCCGAACGTCCATCAATTATAGTCATTATGTAAATAAGCCAAGTATTACAAGGATCTGTTACCTTTGAAATAGTTTATTTTGCTGCATTTAATCATGAATAAAACATAAAGAACCCTATGTAATAAAAGTAGTGATAATAAACAGTATCAAAAACAAAAATAGCACATTATGCCTCTTATTTACCTCAAATATTATTTTGACATGTCTGACTTGCCAAAATTTTAAACCAATTTTATTTTCACTTTCATAGTTTTATCTTCAACTGCTTGTAATTTTAACTGTTTTGAGTGTTTATAGAAATGGTTTTTACCAGCTTTTAGCTGAGATTCTGCCATGTCTATGTCTAACTAAAAGAACTTAGAGTAATTGAAGTAGAAAACCAGACACTTGAGCTTAAAGGGATGCACAATTAGTTGTAACATTAGACTTTATTTGAGAAACATTTATTTTAACTGTAAAATAAAGACTTTAAAAATACTGTAGGCTGTTTAGTTTTTATAATTTTTAAAAATATATTTTAACACGGACGGAGCCATTTTATTTACACACAAAGCATTCTGGGTAAATGATGACATGGATAGGTCCTTAATGTGAGCGAGCTATATCCACCCTGAAGGTTAATCTTGGACAAACTGATGATCGGCTCCTTTAAATGAAACCAGAGAGCGTTGACAGAGAGGAGAAGGTAGAAATGACTCAGCCTGGAACTGAAAATATGGATGGAGGACAACAGAGCTGCTTCATGGAAGGAGAACCTCAGCTTAGCCTGTTAGCTTTAGCGCCGTCGCTATATTGCCGTATTAGCTCGGCGCTAGAGCAACAAACTAACATGTTAAACTGAGGTCCTTCATATATAATATAGTTATAGTTATAATATAGAATATAGTTGTTTTTTTAATAGCATTTGATTACATTCTAAAACAGTGGTTTCCAAACGTTTTATCTTCTGACCCACAAAATATCCATGGCAAAAACTTGTGACCCCAAATACTACTGGTC